GACGGCTATGATTGGCTGGCTCCAAGGTCAAGTGCGGCGTCGGCCAATCACAGCCGCCAGATTTCTCGCCGACTTTTTCGCCAAGTGTCCAGATTAGGGCCCCTGGAAGAGTTGGATGGCCACACGGGTACTAATGGTCGAATGCTGGAAACATTAGCACGGGACAATCACTTCCTAATTGTGAACGGCCTCCCAAAATGCAGGGAAAGAATGACTTGGTCAGCGAGGGGACAAATATTGACTACTGACTATTGCCTTATGACTCCGAGTCTGTATGTGGACCTAAAAGACATGGAGATTGATGTAGAGGCACTGCGAAGTATTGGTATCCAGAGAAAAATCATGGAGGTAGATAAAGCTTTCATGAATGAAGGCCAGTGGCAAGAATGCCCCAAGGAAATACTGGAGGTATATAAAGAAAATATATCAACCCACAAGAACCAGGCAATGACTAAAAGAAGAAAACGCACAGGAACTGTTGGAAGGACAAGACTGCCTACCCGTTATCGAAAACGGTATATCAGGAGAACCTTTCAAAAGGAGAGCACAGATAAATTTGATACCAACACCTCGATGGAAGGGGCAGCAAAAGGGAAACCTGACAAGCTGGAGGGAAGCCAGGTACAGGAAGGGTAAAGGATAACGGGCACGGTGATGCAAGGACAGCTGATGAGGGCACTGAAGAAGTGGACAGACAGCAGCAGGGCTAGACGAAGTACCAATTACAGTGCTCAAAAAGCTAGGAGAAAGATGTTAGGGTTAACACTCCCTTAATTTGTCACCACATCCAAAACCATACCTGACTCTCTCTCCGCCCTCGTCGGACAACTCCCACTCCCCGTTTCCCAATAACTTGGTCCCCCCTCTCCAATTCTCTCTTTTCCCTAGCTGCGGCACTTCCCTAGCCCCGTGCTCCCTGGATTCCCTCCTAACCGCTTGGGACGTTGACCCTCACAAAAAAAAAAACACCATAGACTGAGTTTCAATGAAATAACACAAACGAAGACAATCATAGAGGAATGAAAGATTGGAAAAATTAAACTAATTTACAAAGGGTCAGGAGAAAAATGACACTGAAGAATTACTGTCCAATCAACGTCACACCAGTAGGTTACAAAGTTTTCATGAAGATCATTAGGCGAAGGATGCAATAATGGGCGGGGAACGATCACATTTTGGGAGAACTCCAGAATGGCTTCAGGGAGGGACGAAGGTTGGAAGATAAAAACTTTCTACTGGGGCAGAGTATAGAAATTGCTATCCTAAAAAAACAGCCCTGTGTGCAGGCTTCTTTGATATCTCCAAAGCTTATGATTCAGTGGAACATGAATTACTGTGGAAAAAATTGGCGGAACTAGGTTGAGAGCAGGAAGCAATAGGACTGCTGCGAGAAATATACAGAGAATTCAGGGTATTATCGAATGGGTCCAAAACACATTGAAGAAGGCAGAGCTTGAAAGGGGACTACGACAGGGCTGCCTTTCGTCACCACTGCTGTTTATGCCTTATATCAGTGGAATAAAGCAGGGTCTGTAACAAACCAACAAAGGTTTTAACCTGACATACACAGAGATGGGAAAACAGATTAAACAAGGTGTACCAGGTCTCCTCTATGTGGATGACATCTTGCTCCTGGCCGACACCACACAGGGCCTTCAGGACGTTTTGGACACCTGTGGAAAAGCGGGGTTAGGACTCAGGTCCTAACCCCACAATTCAACCCTGAGAAATGTTCAGTGATAAGATGGGGCACTATAGACGTATATACAGAGTCGAAATTTACAATACAGGGGCAGGAAATCCACTGGGTTGAAAAATACAAATATCTCGGAATGCAAATACAGAAGGGGCCAAACTATCTGGGACTGTACGAGGAACAACTTTGCAGGCGGGCTGAGGGGTAAATGGATTCTTGGAAGGAAATCTCTCTGGGCATTCAACAGGTTTGAGACCATGAGGGGCCCGTGGAAAATGGGGGTGGTTCCAGGAATCACATTCGGGAATGGGGTGACTTATCTGCCATCGACCACTCACAACTTTCTTAAGCTTAAGACAAGGCAGCGCGAAGCTGGGAGGATGGCCCTTGGAGCCCCGTCGAACAGCCCCAATGAAGCAGTCCAGGGAGATCTGACACCAAAACAAAACAGTTTGGAAGAAAGGCGCCGCGGGGCGTTTAGCACCCCGCAGCGCCGCATGTTTCTTGAAGGACATCCATTATATGTTTCAACGTGTGTAAGCAGTGATGGAAGTGCTGCGCCAATTGCGCCAAATTGCGCCAAGGACGCAATTCTGCTACATGTAGCGCCAAATTGTCATTGTACCGAAGAATTGCACCATGCCTGCGCCGAGATGAGATGTAGCAATAAAATATAAAAATTGAAGTCTTATCAGAGCGCGTGGTGGTACCGCGGTATTTTCCGCTCCGCAACTGTTACGCAAACCGCAACTGCGAGGGCGCATTATCATCATCATCATTGAAAGGAACAACGTTAGCAACATCTGAGACCAAAGCCGCAGAGACTAAGCGAAGAACCATCCCACTGAGCAGCCTATTGAAAAAAAAAAAGGCCGAGCTTGTGGATGTTTTCAACGTTGGCCCGCCCTGTTCCCGTGCGCTAGCTACCAGCAAAGTCAAAGCTAGCGCGAGCCCAATGCTCTATGCATTCCTGACTCGCGCGCGGGCTCATGCAGTGTGGGCACCGTTACGGGCTCCATGCGCGCGCTTGTAGCTTTGGCTGCGCTAGCACCGAAGCTGAAACAAAGTATAGTTGAGTTGCACCAAACTCTGGATGTAGTGCTGGTAAAGCCTCACTGTCCTTTTCGGGGCATAAAGCACCGCGCGACTCGCGCGACTGCGGTGTCTGCTCTGCGGGTGTTGCTTCTCTGCAGCGCGTCGGTGCATGCCAAGGAGCGCACTCAACGGGTTAACTCGCCGTGATCCGATCGTGACTTCGCCAGCACATCGAAAATGAATCGGAATTTTTGAAGCAAATTTCAGATACCGCAATATTTGAAGCTGCTGCCCGAAAGACAACTCTAATCTGAACTAAAACATTCCACAACGGTGAGGGTCGTTAGATGCTGCTGCAGATACTTTAAAAAGAAGTGCAGGCTGATAAAACTAAATATCCTGTACCATCAGAACTCAGTGTGACATATATAATTGTATTTTTTTTATCTGACAAGCAGATAAACTTTATTTAAAAAATGTTTTTTTTTAGTTTACTTTGTTGAATTTTATATATCCTGTCTTAAAAAGGTGACAGGCGCTGTGTTCCAATAATAGAGATGGGCTTTATAAAGCAATGCAGCATTATTTCATTTTCAAGTAATATGCCAGCATATGCCGGACCCTGCTCCAAAAGGGCCACTACCTGCTCCAAAACAACATTTTGCCTGCTACAAGGCCTGCTCCAAAAGGTCAAATGGCACTTCCATCACTGTGTAAGGTTTGTTATGCTCTGTACTATGTGCGTTTACGTCCGTCAGTCGGCCAAGAGATTGAAGTTGCGTCACATGCCAAGGTAGCAACTTTTCGTGCATACAATAGGCCTGCTACTGATTTCTCGTTGTTCTCAACTGCGGATGTTCAGAAGCTGGGACTTAGAACTTTGCAGGACCCCCTCGAAACCGTTGTTTAAAGCCTGTCCCTGGCATCAACTCACTCTTCGTTTTCGACGTGTTTCGACCCATTCACCACTCTGACTTCACCTATATATATTATATATGACAAAGTAGAGGTCCCTCCGTAGAACAACGGAAGCTTTATTTTCGACGTTTTAACCGGAGTCCGGTCTTCGACAGGAATGGGCAACAAAAAAAGGTTTGGTCATACTTATACAAAATTACGGTGCAGGTCCACTTTTCAGGGCGTATGGAGCGACAGTAAGAAGTCGTTACAAAGATGTCCGGGTGCGCTAGGTTAAACTGGGCTTCCAAAAAAATGAACCGACCCACAACAATTATTTGTAAGCTGCCTTGTCATTAGTCAATTAGATATCGTCTTCATTTTAGTTTTACTGAAAGCAACCACTTTTTCCCTTTTTAATGCCAGACACCATCTTTGGTGTCTGGCTGAAATATTGTTTTCGTCTCAAGTGCTAATGCTGAAACCTAGTTGGACTAGGTTTCAGCATGTTACGCACACATGTTATGGAGGATAACTCTCCGCAAACCAAAAATATACAATGTCAGTTACGGTACAATAACTTTCAGAATAGCCCTGGGTGTGGGGCTATTCTGTTTTGTATATTCTGAATTTTTTTTTTATTTGTCGTTTACTTTGACATAGTTGTAGAATTTTCGCCATTTATAGTCCTTCGGCACGTATATTGTACTTTCAAAAAATAAAATTTTAAAATCTTATCTTCACGTTATACAAACCTCTATTCCTTTAAAAGAAATACGCAAATCAGTCCAGAAAATAAAAGCGGTTGCACGACTCCCTTGAAAATTGCTACTTTTCCCGTGGTCAGGAAAGAGTTAAAAGCGTCAGTTTACATGCTGTGTAACTGTGTAGCAATTATTGTCTCGAAAACTCCCAAATCAAGAGAAACCTATTTTACGCCAGTATACCCTCGCAGATCGGAGGGAGGCCAGCTTTGCGTTAGTAACGCCAGGGTTCACACTGCAATTTCAAGAGTCGAACAGCTCGTCTTATTGCATCACTGATGCCAACCCTCCTCGTTCATTTCAAACAAAGCCAACAAAGCCACATGAAACATTCTGTTGCAAGTCTTTTCTTTACAGAACAAACCCGAACCGGACTCTCGTAGAGCCCCGTTGCAGGTGGAGGCATGCTGACCACCCGTTACTGATGCCACAAAGTGCAAAAGCGAGGGCACATGTTCTGTTTCATTCAAACTTTGCCCAACCTCAAGCCAAATGGGAGATGCAGTGACTGTTTTCTGCCTTTGCTAAAAACAGGATGGAAATTGGAATGACCATGCCTAGAGTTGCTCCACCGATAAAGCCTCAAGCTCTGTCGGAAAACAACTTACGGGAGAGAAGCCGTCTTCACTGGGATGCTTGCCGGGTGTCCATGCAGGTGCTGCAGAGCCCGGCTTGGTTGGAATGCGGTGGAGGTAGCCGTATCCAATGCCACAGCCCAAGCTGCAAGAAACCCGGTGGGGATCCTTGGATCACGTCAACCCGAGCATTCCCTGAGCCACAGCGAGTTAAATGTACTAAAGTTATGGCAACAATAGGGCAATTCCGTGTGACCACTAGCTGCCTTCATATAACCAGGGTGGGCAAAAGGAACAACTAGCACATTATTCATTCAATGATTTTCGAATTCCACAAACCCCTGGTTACCAGTGTGTCGGGATATATAACAAAAAATTCTATTAACTCTTCCGAGGTCAAGTATTTTTTCGAAAAAGAATACCCAATAATCAAAATTAATTTTTTTTCATTTTTTTTTTATTTTTTTTATCGCGAAGATAGGGTAAAATTAATAAATGTGCAGGTTTTCTTTAAATTATATAATGGGAGCTCACTAAGGGCTTGTAAGCTGTCTGTTTTGACAAGCATCAAATGGAATTACTAAGTGCAAAAAGTTGTCGCCTTTCTTCCAAACTGTTTTGTTTTGGTGTGTCTGCTTCCTGTCCACTTCCACAACATTCTGGCGGTCTCAGACCCCAAACCGGAGATTATTTAAAGGGGCCCTGCCATCATATTTAAGCGTCCACCTTTTTTGCGGTTTCCACGTCTCTTGGGGTTTCGGGCAAGCCAGCGGGGACGGAGAGAGTAACTAAATATCAGTGCGTCATATTTTAACCGGACGACGCGGAAACCTCCTCCACCGACGAGGGTGACCCGCGGTACCAAAAGCGCGCAAAATGTGACGTCTTTGGTCCCGGGCTTACTACTGGTCAGAGCCACTAAAAGCCTCTTTTTAGTCGAAATACAAAATGTAAGTGGCGCGATCCGTTTAGATTATTTATAAAAGTAGTTTTGGTTCAGTATTTTAGATCAAAAAAGAAACGAATGCAGTTCATAAAGTACGGAAACAAGAAATGACCCGTCGACATACCCGCCACCAAGCGGTGGAAAAGGCGGCGCATACTAGAAAGGAGTAGTGGGACCAGGCGCCGACACTGAAAGGTCCCAGATGTACGCGGCGGCGCTGTGGTCGTTTGGTCAAAAGGATCCGACCGGCTCCGAGCGTTCCAAAGGCCTTCGGCGAGAAGCTTTGTCTTGCGGTTTGGCCGTTTCGCGGTATGGCAGCGCAAAGTAGCTCCCATTGTGAACTGATCTTTACCCCGTGTTTGCTGTCGTATGTGGCCAATGAAGTATCATGCCGAATTAGTATTTAATCGCGCAGCAAATGCAATGAGAGCCGCTCTGGCTGCCCGCTGCATATAGCCTATCCAGAACACGCTTCAATGGCGCCCTCTCGCGCTGTCGACACGGAGTGCGGCAGCCGTGAGCGCTCGATAAGCTCACTACGCCTCCTCTAGTTCACGGTCACTCTCAAGCAACCAAGGACGTCATGAGGGAGGTTATTTTTTGCTTATTTTTGTAATTTTAATTTGCCTATAACTTTTAAAATAAAGGGAATTTCGAGGAAAAAAAGTTCCAGGAAGTTACTACGTTCAGTGCGCTCGGGTTCGGTGAGAATTAAAAATTAGCAAAAAAGTCATTGCAGGGCCCCTTTAAGGAGGTACACTACCTGGGAATGTCAACCTTTGAACCGCCCACTCAATCGGTGTGATATTTGCAGGTGGTTGAAAGGCTCAAGCACTTTCAATCTTGCGAACCAATTTTTATACCTGCAGAACTAAGTAAAAAATAGCTTTGCATGGAATCTGCTCAATAAATTTATTGTTGAGAAATGGTGTTGATAACCACATACTTTTTTTGATGGAATGCATATTAGAATACTCATCGCCGGTTGCTATGAAAAGAAATTTAATATGCAATTTTCAGGTTACCAAGTTTTGCTAATTACAATTTTTTATAATAAAAGGAACACGAAAATGCAAAATCTGAGTTCATACTAACCGGCACCATAAAATTTTGGCATATAAGCCGCAAGTAACAAGTCTCTCTATAGTTTCATGCTGAAACAATACTTTTATTATGGTGGGATTTATGTCAAAAAGTGGATTGGAGAAAAACCTATTCAAAGTGCTGGAACCTGTAACTTTTCTTTAGCATTTGTGGAATGAAAATAATTTATAAACGAATAACCATGCACAGTAAACAATTGAAACTTTCTGGGAATACTCTCTAGATGTTGACGGATGTATATAGGACATTTTTTAAAATCAACTTTTTTTGCAGAACTTTTTTTTTGGGGGGGGGGGGGGTAGTGTTTTTCCTTTAAACAGCTTGGGATGATGAGCTTTTATCCTCTGAATCAAATTCCGAGAAGCTTTGGATGTCTAAACCGAAAAAGCCGGGGGATTGCCACTACCAAAGTGATGTGGTCATCTCACGTACACGGAGTGTCCAATTTCAGAACTATAAATATCCCCAGCAAACCAAAACACCATGCCAATAGACCATTCCACTCAGCGCTCTCTGGGCGGCACCATTTTGTTCAACAGCAGCGCCCTCTCCATACATCCGGGAAGTTCGGCAGGTTCGGCAAGGTAAAACGAGAGAGAGGGCACGCGCCCGACTCCGCCAGCAGACGACAAACCGGGAGGTTGCTATTCTCCATCTTTGGGCTGTACCGGCAAGCTGTACGGAACATCAAACTCTCGCTCGTGGCTGCCGTTGTGAAGTGGTTCGCGTTCTTAGAATAGTTATGGCTACTCCAAAATCAGCCTATAGATGTCTGCTGTCCTATTTCGGTAAATGATCAACTAGCATATCTTTTTTCCGTTGCTTAAATAGCAGTTGAGTCAGCCGGCAGTACTACCCTCAACTACTGCGTGTATTGCGGCAGGACAGCACGTTTTCATCTATTACTTCAGACTTGCACTCATGGTCGCTAAAGGCCTACACCCGTACGAACTTTGTATAGTAAAAAAGGTACAGCAACCAGATTTACTTTTCGCCGGAGAAACCGTCCAATCTGAAACAGTTTTCTCTATTTTTAAGTTTTATTTGCACGCAGGTAATAGCGCAATCGGACCCTGTTAATATTTTTTTTTATCTAAGATAGTATTACACAATAACTGGCACACCAAAATCTGCGCACCTGCGCTTGAAATTTCCAAAATGACGCGATTTTAAACAGAGTTTGCACGCCAGCCGGAGGCTAGGTACAGCCCACTCGGCGGAGCAGACGACACCTGGGGTGAGAGGGGGGTCATTTTTTTTCTCTCTATTACCCTCTCTGCTATGACCCTAATGGAACGGTCAATAGAACACCTATAGTTCTGCAAGGACATAACATATCAGCACCTCTCGGGATGTGCGCAGTTTCGCGTCTAGGTGGGAACTTTTTTGAATGTGTAATCGCCGCCATACATGCTCGGCAGCGACCCTCAAAGGGTTAAGGTGTGAAATGTTAGTGGCATGATATAAATGTGTCTTTCTTTTGTACACAGACATACGTTATGTTGGTATGGGACACGCCAATGTCAGCTCACAAACTGACATAAAACACGCCCAACTGCTTCAATAAATGATTCGACGCTAGAGTAACTGGGTAAATGATGATCGAAGCTGTTCTGATCCTTTGAAGATGACGACATCTGGATCCTGCGGGATTTATTCACAAATAATGCTAGAGCTTAATGTAGGGAGATTCAGTGTTTGCAATAAAATCAAGTACACCATCAAACAGGACTTGGGCCTCTTCTCCCAATAAAAAAACCGGATGATATAACCTGTAATACATGTAAAGCTTCTCGATCAATGCCCGAGCCACAAAAAGTGCAGCAAAGAGCACAGTGTGGTGGTGCCTCTCCCAAGCAGCACTTGGGCACTGGCAGACTGCCAGCTTTTAGGAGGTCAGCTGGAACGTCAGACGGGCATCGCAGCTCGTCGCCTCACCTGCCGTCTCCTCCCCAGGCCTTGTTGGGGGTGATGCTGAGCTCTCGGCAGCTGTCCGAGTCCGTGTTGTAGACATACAACTTCAGTGGACGGCCTTCGTGGGCATCAATCAGGGTGAACAGGTCTTCAGACTGCAATGCACAACAAGGTCATTGCAAAAAAAAAAAGACAAAAATAATAATAAAACAACCTAGAACCACTGCAAAAGTGTTTCAGGACTAAGATCCAGAGACTGTCCAGACACCTATCATAAGCCTTGCCAGAACCCTTCTCAAGCCACATTTTTAAATGAGATGAAAAGGTACAGTGCTGACTGAACTTCCGTGTAACACGCCAACTGTATCTGATCTCATGTCAGTGCTACCCCGGCAGATACCGAACAATGGGCTGTGTAACAGAGCGCTTAATGGAACAGCCAAGCAGAGGAAGCGCTTGCTCCAGGTCAGCATCGCGGTTGAAATGTGGACACCACAATTTCGACAGTCACCTCTGCATTGAGGGGGAGGGGGATATGGCAAAAAATGTAGATCGCCCAGCAGGTAAAATCGTTGCGTCGTCCCCGGTTCAGTTGCGATTTCGGCCTCGATCGAGCAGCCCCCCTGCTTGGGCTGTCCACTGAGCACTACGTCATAAAGCACTTCTTTGGCTGTTGCCAGGATAGTGCTCCCATTAAATAAGACACTGTTATTGCGTTCCATATCAGTTTTGTTAGCACTGTATCTTGCAAACAGAGATAAAATATTACTCCAAAATCTAAAAGCCAAACAAAATGCTTACGCTCTTCGGGTACTGTAATAAAAACACGAGACCTCGTAAACCTTTCAACTTCATAAACTCTGTCCAATTGCTCGTAAAGCGAACAACTGGACAAGCCTACCAGTGCCCATAAAAGACGAAGAAAGATAGATTCCAAATTTCACACAGGCAAAGTAGAAGCATGTGCTGAACTGAGTGTTAGCCCATTTCGAATCCAAATCTATGTTGAGGAAAACCAGGAAACAGCACCTCATGTAGCACAGAGTCAGATCCGATGATGTAGTCACCGTAGGGCCTCAGTCCTGCAGCTTCCGCCGGAGATTGGGGACTGACGTCCTAAGGGAAAGAAGACAATCCCAGAGCTACTCAGGAGCGTCAGTGCTACCTCAGAAACCTAAGCCACAACAAGGCCAACTCTGACGACGGTATACGTCGGATACACCAAGACTCAGTATACCACCGTGTTGCAGTACTATGCAATTGGTTTTGCAAAGCAGGAAATCACTCGTTATGAGGTAGCCTTCTCTATACAGTTAATGCAAATACTTCACTAGGGGAAATAAAGGTCACACCGCTCATTTGCATTAGACAGAGCAATGGCAGCGCCGAAGCCTCCCCTCGTGGCTTGTACTGCTCCAGCTGCTCCGGCCACCGACTTCTGTTTGCTCTTTCTGACCGCCTCCGCTCTCTCCGGATCATGCGGGAGCTCAACAACCCAGATTTAAGAAAGCCGGGGAACGCCGACGCAAGCAGCAACCACAATGCGATGCCCCAACACTGATGTAAACGGAAAGTACACGGCACGAGTGGAACCAGGTGATGACTCAAGCATTTTTCTGACCGTCTCTGACAATTGTCACATTATCAAATATCTAAATCTTTATCTGCTTGCTAAAGCATTGATGTAAAGCGTGATTATGTCTAATTAAACTCATTGACACCCTCGCAATAATTGATGTCTCCGGCACCTTCAAAGTTGCTTAAGAAATTTCGAAAACCCGCTCAAGTATTTAACTGTTACATCCATTTATAGAGTTGGTTACAAGTTGCCTATGCTAGTAACAGACGTTGTGCCCAGTTCAAAGTTGGTGGAACCAAACAAGACATTGAGCGCCCACTGCGTATACATACCTGGTAATTCAATAAAAGGTCATTTTAAAGTTGTTTTTTTCTACATTAAGAAAAGACCAGGACGCTGCAACAGAACGGCACGCACAGCAAATTGGTGGCCGGTAACGAAGACTCCGACCCGAGAGATGGCGTCGGTAACCGGTCTGTTAAAAGGGAAAATCCACGACCCTGCGACACACCCAGCCATTCAAACGTCCCAGATCCTGTCTGTGCTGAGCCTATTGCATTCACGGAAAGGGCCTGTGTTCCCCCCAGTAAAGTATTTGGTTAACACTAGCAACATTGTCGCTAGAACCGCTCGCACGTTTTTTCTTTTTTCACTCTGCCTCACGCATAACTGGGAGAGGATGGTAAGCCAGCAGAGAGGAGGTAAGGAGGAGGTTGGTCCGTTTTTCCCGTGAAAGAAAGAAAAAGGTGGCTCGGAAAATATCCGCTTGGAATTTTTCTGGTTCTAGTACATATCCTGATTGTGGTTAAAGTCATTCTTTTCTTCATTTTTTTTTTTCTGTCAGTCCAAGCATTTTTTTTTTTTTAAGAGTAACTTAATGATAGAGAGATAGAAAGCAACTGTATGAAATAAAAAAAACCCTAAAATCAGCCAAGCCAGAAAGCAAATATTTGTCATTGCCACACATCGGAGGGCAGCGGAAAGAACAGACCATTGCTGACAACTCCAAATGCAAGGTCAAGAGTACAGTAGCTTGCGCACTTACACTGTCGATAGTGTATAACTCCACACGATGTGGGGTCGCTATATAGTAATTGCCGCCGGATCGATCTGTGCTCTGCTTGTCTCCCAAGGAGTGACACAGCACAACGAGAAGACAGCGAATCGGTTTACTGTACTGCCCGGTTGTCCGTCCTAGAGAGCCGACAGTCTTCCGCCCTCATCTCCCACAACGTTCACCGAAGAGTAGGTTTGCAACTGCCGTGCACTTAAAACATAACCGTCCTTTCTATTTCAAGTGTACCGGCAGTCTCGTACCAGCTCTTAATTGACTGGAAAAATGAAGTCAAACAGTATCGACAAGTCAGGTGCGCACGCTGTTATTGTATAAAAAGAGAGGCTTTCATATAAAACCTTGCTTTTTTTCCTGGAGTGTGAAACTCATGGCACTGCAAAATTATGAAGAGCCACAAAATCGGCAGATCATTGTAAGAGCATAATCTGCACTCAGGTTATCTTAACACTTCTGTTGGGTACATTGTCTCATCAGCTTTTTTTTGTACGAGGTAGCTGTTTCTTCAGTCACTGCTAGGCACTTGGTTGCGCAGGTTCTAACGTGTTACATCAGTTGAGCTGTGACTGTGGTGCAAGAAACAATGGCTGCTCCACTTGTGATTTGCATGAAAGAGCAGCATGCAGTGATCAGCTTTTTGTGGTCTGGGGGTGTGTCTGGTGCAAATATTTACTGAAGACTTTGTAAGCAACATAAACTGTTTTCTTTTTGTTCTTCTTTTGTGCAAAGAAGTAAATTTTAATGGATACAGAAGTCAGGGAAGGACGCACAAGTGTCAGCCATGAAGAAAGAACCGGATGCCCGTCCACGACTGATGATAACATTGAGAGTGACTGTGAACCGACTCTGTCGGATAGATAAGTGACAGTGGATGATGCGGCAAATCATTTGCGAAACCACCCCCAACGCTCTGTCTATACAAAAATCCACAACAGAGTTGGGTACTATAGCCAGAGTTGTGGATAAATTCTACAGCCACAGTGTGGATACCTTTTTAATCACCCCCGTAGAACAGAACATAAAGGTAAAAAATGTTGAATCGGCTAAAAAAATTTTGGCTACCAAACTAGGTGCAAACAGCTGCCTGCTTCCTTCTAAAAACAAACCCACTAAAAATGCCAGACCCTACACATACTATCATGGCAGACCCTCCCCTTCTCACTCGCATCTTCAGATATTTCCTTATGATTTTCACCGAATATGGTGACTCATTCGATGAACCAAAAGCTGTCCAAGACAAACAACACCAAAAAAGAAAAACTACCAAGCTTCCATATGAGGTTCTTTTTCGAGTCAGAATAAATTTCGATGCACAATTCTTGCCCAATTCTTGAATTGTGCAACAATTGCACACAGTTCAAACGAAACCAGCAGGTAAATAATGACTTAGCCCTGCTTGAGCTATGGGATAAGTTAAATCTCCTGAGAAAGAGCCTAAGTTTTCAAGGACCACCAAACGTACCCCAACAATTCCAAGTTCTTTTCTCCGTTAGTGCAACCACCCATGTGTTTATAGCCCAATTTGTAATAAACAGATATGTGGAAAACAATGAATTTGAAACAAGGCTTATCCACAGCCACAGCGTAAGGCAGCTTTAGTGGCCAAAATGAAAACATTAGGCGTAGGTACTGGGCACACAACACCCGAAGCAGCAACAGTAATCTCCATTTTTGTCCTGGAAATCATTATGCTAACAGGATTGCTAGTGGTTCCCGGCAGCTATTTTATGAATTCAATCTCTCCACTCATTTGAACTAGCTGATTTTAGTTTAGATGCGATGTGGTGGTGTGATCATAAGCACAGATAATTGAATTTAGACAAAGAGGAGTTTGAGGATCCTCTGCAAACTCTGTGTGTCAGAAAGGGAGCATTGTTGGGAGGTCAGAGGATCAGACTACGCCTACATCCGAAAGGCCCTCGGTGATTCTTGGTGTGGTTGGCTGTCATGGATACCAAGCCAGCTCGGACCGTCTCCAGGGTAACGCACTATCCTGGCGAAGGGCAGAACAAGGAAACTCGCGCATCACATTACTCTGGCAGCTAAAGAGTGGCTCTAGGAAATAGGCTTACCCCCTCGCAAATGTTAGTCTGCTTATGACAAACTAGTGTAGGTACGACGAGCACATTTTGCATAACCAAAATGACTGTTGTGAGCTGATCTAGACCAACACAAAGCACCCCTCCCTCCCCCCTCCCCCCTCCCCCCCCTCTCTCCCTCCCTCCCCCCTCCCCTCCCTCCCCCCTCCCCTCCCTCCCCCCTCCCCCCCCCCCCCCCCCCAAAAGCGGTACACACTCACCAGGACGTGCCAGACGTTCTCATTGGCCCCCTCGAAGGAGCAGAAGCGGATGCTAACCCCGAGCAGGCCGTGGCCTCCCCACATGGACGAGGGCACAATCTCCACATCCCGCACCATCTGCGTCTTGCTGCTGTAGACGGTCATCGCCACAGGCTTCTCTATGCTCGCCTTCAGGATGTCTTTGAGGACGTCATTGTCCTGATTCTGAAGGAGCCATATGTCAGTCAGAGGGAGGCTCGACAGCTTTAGAGACAAACTGAGTAAAGCACAAATTTGTGCTCGACCAACAATCATACACTGAAAGTTCTCAGCATCACAAACACCGACAGATTGCTAAAAGGACACTGAAAACAATTTTAAGATTTCTCTGAGCACAGTGCTTTTCGCATTCTTGGGGGCTCAGCACAGCGCCCCAAATTTCTTTCCAAACTATACTTGGCGACAACTTTTCTTGGCAATGCAGTGGAGGGTACAGGCAAGAGTTCCCTATCCCATTTTGAGCGATGGATAAGGCTGTGAACGGGCTCTCCTCAACTTCCACTGCATTGCCAAGATATGTTGTCGCCAAGTATAGGTCATGCATAGAATGGTGGAAACTGCCAAATCTCGAACGGGAACTTCAGTTTAGATTCTGTTACAGAGAGGCTGTGATGGCACATCTGAACTCTGTACAAGAGGCTACAGGAGACTGAACATCAATACACTGATTGAGAAAGCAACACAATACTTGTGATTTCCATAGTTCAATAAATCAGTCTGGAACATTACAATGACTTTTAAAAGCTCTCCAGCTTTAGCAAAAAAAAAGACTGATCGAAATAGTGACCGAGGAACTCACCAAACGCGTGTTTCCAATGGCAACAATGAAGTCAAAGAAGGCTTCCAGTCCTGCCTTGTGCCCTGGAGAGTTTTCCTGAACCTGGCAAAAGACGGGTACTTTTGCGAAGCTTGTTTTACCCCTGCCTCTTCCGCTGTGTCTCAAAACTCAGTCTAATGTTTTACTCCAACTGGACACATTACCATTCCTCTGCTATGCTCCCCCCCCCCCCCCCCCCCCCCCCCACCGTCCACCACACAATATGTACTCGCTATCTTGTCCAGTGCCACTCTAAAAATGTATTTATTAATATTGCAATCCCTTAATGGGATTTTTGCTGGTGGGTACAATAATAAAAAAATACAACATTATGGCAAAAAGAACAAAAAATAGAAACAAGTTATAGTACACTTGAACAAAAATGCAAAACAAGGTATAGTACAGATGAACAAATACGGTACCAAAGGGGCTAACTTAAATTAGATGTGAATAATGACATTGATCGCTGCATAATAACTCTCTCAGCAAAGTCATTCCACTCAGTTACTGTTTGTGGGAAAAAGGAATACTTGAAGCAATTATTACATGATTGAACATGAGTTATTGTTAGGGCACACCTTTGTCGAGTAGCATCTACTGATGAGAAAGTGATTAAATTGGACAGGTCTACCTCATCATGGCCATTAATTAACATGGTACAAACATTTTAGTTGAGAATGCCGATTTCTTTCAGACAAGGACAGCAAATTAGCTGAGGCTAAAAGTTTGGTTACGGAAGTATGCCCAAAGTTATTATAAATAAAGTGAGCGGCTTTTTTTTGTACTCGATCAAGTGTACTAATGTTAATCAGTGAAAAGATCCCAAATGATTGCAGCATAATCAAATGTTGGCAGGACTATAGACTATAGTTTTATATGTGAGAAGACATAAGGAAGGGGGAGAAAGTTTCAACGTTCTTCTAAGAAAGAATAACTTCCGCAGAGCATTAGATGTTACATAATTGATTTGCTTTGTCCACGTAAGATTATGAGTAATCCAAAGTTCAAGGTATTTATATTGTGTGACTTCTAAAAGGGGGATATTATTAACATTGTAAACAAGCTTTAAAGGGTGTTTTCTGTTAGTAGTTCTTATATAAAAAAAATGTTTTATCAAAGTTAATGGTCATTTGCCAATCCATGCACCATGTCGTAATATTTTGAAATGCTTTGTATCATAGAAGTTGATCCGAAGCACTATCTACTTTGGAGTGCATGATGCAGTCATCAGCGTACAATTTTATTTTTACAGGAACATCTGTCATTAATAAACAGCAAAAAAAGGAGAGGGCCCAGTACAGATCCCTGGGAAACGCCAGAGTCCACAGAAAGTGAGTCAGAACAATGTTTACCAAAAACTATGCACTGCCGACTGTTTGAGAGATATGCCGAGATTCATTTTACTAACTGTGTGTTCTTACATATTTTGTCTAATTTGTATATTAACTTTTTATGGTAAACCTTATTGAATGCCTTCGAGAAATCCATAAAAATAGAATCTCTTTGTTTTCGGTTGTTAATTGCCAAGGAAAAATTGTGAATAGTTTCAATTAATTGATTGCATGTGGAAAAACCTCTTCTGAATCCATGATAATGCTTAGACAAAATGGTATGCTTATCCAAGAATGCTGATAAATGAGTACATATTATAAGTTCAAGAAGTTTACATGCAGTTGAAGTCGATGAAATTGGACGGTATTTCCCTATGCATTGTTTGTTCCCATTCTTATTAATAGATTTGACACTGGCAGTTCTCCAGTCATCTGGAACCTGACCCTCGTATGTTGAAACCCATTCAGCGACCTTGATAAAAATATATTTGGAATATTGTCGGGCCCAGAAGACTTTTTAACATCACGTTTCAATAGCATATTCAATATACCGTGTTCAGTAATTACAATATCAGGCGTAGGAGGGTAGTGGGCATCAAAACATAGTAAGACATCATTGCCTTGGGTAAAAACCAATGTAAAGTGTTTATTAAATGTGCCCGAGATAATACTTTCTCTGTAGGCTAGATTACCGTCAACCTCAAAAACATCACATGCCATAGAATATGGAGATATTGTACGCCAAAACTTTTCTGGTGAAGTAGATATGAAGTTTGGCAAAGACTCACCGAAATAATTACTTTTATCAATGTTAACTTGAATTTTAAGTTCTAAAGAGCCGTGAATTTTTCATTTAGATCTAATACAATACAATATAAAATACAATACAATATATACAACGCAATATAAAAGCTCAGCGTAAGAGCTACGGTATCCGTTATATTTGTGTTAAACGAAGCTTGTATTCTCACTTAGTTATCTTTTAAGTTTATTCTTCCATCAGAGATTCTTGAGTATAAAACTCCATATGATACATCTTATTAAGCACGACAATTACAATTTTTAATCTTTACAAGGACCACACCCAACATGGAATACCAGAGTGGCCACAAATAGGAAACAATGCATGTGTGCTTACCAAGCCATCTTTTAAACGAGCTATTGCTACACCATAGGCACAGGGCACAAGCATACCTGTGCAGAAAGCCCAGCGGATATCCGCAGGTATCCACAACAAGACCAGTCCATGAAGGTTCATATTTTGTGAATACAGATCGGATGGGGATAGAGAATGCTGCATGGAGCATACATACATGCAGGTTGGATGCAATCTCCAGGGTTTACAAATTGTTTGGGGATGTGAAGCACTTCAGATATGCAAAGCTGCACATGCTCACACTAAGGTTGTTGAATGCTGTAATGGCTAGGTCTTTCACTGCTATAAAACAAAAATTCCTTTGGTTCACTCATTTTGCATGTTTTGCAAATCAATAAAGCTAAACTGACTGTGTCCTCTGGAACGGAATTTTAGTCGTAGACTGTCCTATCCCCATCTTAGATGACAATCACCGTATGCTTTGCCGAGTTTTTCCCAGAAGTTGGTTTGGCTTACACAATGCGACTGGTAGCACATACTGTGTTTAAGCTTGACTTCAATATTTCTGTACAAAATTATGAAAGATAAAGACGAGATATGTACCCTTGATACACTTTTTTCTTTTTCGTGGAATGCAATGAAAGAGGTGCTGATGCATCGTTCTGTAGTTTCTTCTATGGCTAGTGCCTCGATTGTTTCTAGTTATGTGAGCACACCTTTTATTGGTTTTCAGATATCTGACCCAGAGGCTCTAGGCTTTTTAGTCGCCACCACCACCTGTCGGGCAAGGATGCTGTCACATATTATCAAAAAGATCCCCTTGGATGATGTCATACACTTCACACTTTTTCAGCATAATGAGACCGTCACAAAAACACGCCATGTGAATTTTCAGATTCTCAGGTCAGAGACATGGAGCCAACTATGTGTGCTCGGGGTTGATACACTCCCTGCTATCACCATGGATCGAGCCCACTGACAAGGTCTCCTTCATTCGAAACGTTGCATCCAGAGTTCATGATGAAAAGACAACACAGATCAATGTGGGAACTGATTGCCTAGCCAGCCAAAGTTGCCAGGCACACCAAGGTATGACTTTGGTTCTATGGTGCAGGAGCTATGAAGCAGGGATCTTGAGCTTTATGTCTCGGACAAAGGAGATGGTTTTGTGGTCCTTGGTTCAGGGACATAAGGAGAGAAAGCCTATGCTGCCATGGTTTAAAACTCTATCCATGTCAAGAGCGAAAGCAGAAAAGGAACCAAGGTTACTAGAGGAAAATTACCTAAACAGCCTAGGCAAAAAAATTAAAGGAACGAAGGAGGGCCACCTGGATATCTCTTTCTCAACGAAGACATACAAGGTTGGCATATTGTTTCGCAGCAGTTTGTCAGAAGGGGTACAACAAGCACACGTGTCAACCTTTCTGGCAAAGCACCTGTCCCAGGTACAATGAATGCAGCACATGTTTCAAGTACCATCGTACAATGCCTTCTTCAAGGAAGTGGATCTGCTTTTGCATCTGGCTTGTCCATCGACATCCAGGTTGCGTACTATATGGTACCACACACGAGCCTCTTGCCGATTTCTCATTCAGCCATCAAGGAGCAAGGCATCATAGCATTCCAGAATGTGACTGGGATGAATCTGGACAGCTTCCTGAAGCTGCTTGGTGTTTATCTGATGGCGGCAGTGGTGACACATTAAGGCCGAAGGTTTTTGCACAAGAGGAGCGTGTGCATTGGATCTCAAGTGGCTCAACACCTCTGTAATCTGTTCCTGGCAGCGTGTTGAAAATACATCAGAAAGAACATGGCTGACACGAGGATTAAGGCCATTTTCAGGTGTGTGGATGACTTCCTGATACTTTGCAACACAAACGTAGAAGGTGCAAGAAATGAACACAGAAAGACAGTCATGGGGTGCTTCCAAGAAAGCTGCGCAGAACTGTTCTTCACCCCTAAACTAACCGTGGAAAAGTCCATCAAGTTCCTAGACCTCGTGCTGGAGTTCCAAGTTGAACTATGTCTGCTGGAGGTATGAAACACGGTCATGCAAAGGATTTCTGCCATCTGGATCAGGACATTTCAAAACAGTAAAAAGAAATGTTACCAACACGGTGTAGGCATAAGTTGCGGCCTTAAAGAAGTCATGCCATCAGCAGGTTGGACGAAGTTTTGAGAAGTAAATTGCCAGTTAAAGGGAAGCCCGCAATCTCAGTGATGTGATTGGGTCGAGCAATTTTGGAGAATGTTTTCACGCAGCCAAAAGTCCCTTTTGGAGCAGCAAAAATCACTTTTGGAGCATGAGTACTCCGTGTTCCCTTTGATACTACTGCAAATACTATGTTAAGATTCATTTGTAGGCCTCTTCAACTAAAACACCGTGTTTCTTTGACTTCCCACTTCTGTACAACCACTTCTTAGCATCCATTGCGAAGTATATTAAAATTTCAAGGGTAGTTTAGTTATGCACATTCATGGCATGTAAAGATTTATAATGAAAAATGCCTTACAAAATCTAGCTGAACATGTTCATCTTAATTCCAAGCTTTGATACCCAAGAAAATGTTAATATAATTCTAATTTAAACTTTGTTAACTGCATCCACAAACAGTTGGGGTTCTAGTTAGAGGTGTTAACTAAACATAATAGTTAAACATACAGCAAAGCCCAATTACTTTGAATCAACAGAAGCATGAACCCTTTTTCGATATGTAAGTTGAAAGTATTCAACTTACAACCTTAAATTTCGAATTTGAAAAGAATAAATAGAAAGAAGCCACTACCAATGATGCATGCAGTTTGTCAGGATGTCACAGTCTATCATATAAAATAATCAGAGTTTTATTTTGCAAACTTTTCTGCATGATAACTGTTCACAAACCGGCATTCACCAATTTCTATTTACTTATCTATTTATTTATTCAAATCCCCGACACGCCATTGTGTACCATTCCACCCTGGAGAAGTGCTTTACCCTCAATATGAAACTCCGCTGCGGCAAAGCAACATACGCAGGATTGTGATGTCTACTATGCGGGCGTAGCTTCTCTGCAGTGCACCAGTTCACAGTGAGAAGCGCACTGAACAGAGTTAATTAAACCGCCCGAACAGACCACAAACAATGAGAAATATTAAGAAACCTCAGAGTACTAAGTCACGTTCGATACGAAGAATTCATATTAAATTCTTCCTACCAAAACTTCTCAAAATTTCTGCAAGCTTACTGGAACAATCCGGCAGCTAGCGCAATGACGCCTGAATTATTCGTTTCTGTATTCTTAAAGTGAAATTAACTTTTGGCACAATGTAGGTGTGAATTTCTCACATTTTGATTAAATGTAACAGGATGTAGCAAGGAAGCACTTCGGTGCAAATGGCACACGAAGGAATCATATCACTGCAATTCGGATGGTCGCCTGGGAGCTTTTTGTGAAACAATTTGCAAGAAATTGAAGGACAAATCCACCTGTACCGGGGGAGCAGATAGAGTGACAAACCAAAGGAACATCACAGAGGTCGCACACCAGTTACCTAGCTGTGTTTGAAGATTTGTGTTTGTCCTTTGTCCCTTTTGTTCCCCTTCTCCAGGGATTATTTTCGTCGTTCCCTACATTCATGGGACAACCCGGATTAAAAAAGATTGCTGGGACACAGGATGTTCAGGTTCTTAGCTCGGCGGCAAATAAAGCATGTGTCGCAGAGTTAACCTTGAGGAACACAAAAAGAGAAATACCACACTACCCACAGCATGCAATACAACCCCGCAAAACGACCCGTGCAAAACGGGAGTCGTACATCCCACATCATGTGGCAAGCGTAGGTCGGCAAAATGGGGTGCTGCATCAATGACCAAACAAGGGAGCATGCAGCATCAGTGAAGGGCATAGCAGCAGGACATCTATCAGCACATTGCCAGGCATGTAACTGCAGTGCAAATCTCAAGGACATCTGCATTCTGGGAAGGAACAAAAATCAGTTTGCAAGCAAAACAGTTCAGGTACTAGCCACAGAAGAAACTGCAGAAGGATGCGTCAGCACCCCTCTTCCATCATGCTCCACAAAAAAAAAAAAAAGTCAATTTGTGGTGTAGAACGCCTCGGCAATTCCAAAGATGAGCGCCTTGCTGGGTCCCACAAACAGCATTCATTTTTTTATGTGTACAGGTTGTTTCGCAGAACACCAGTCAAATAGTTCTCATGAAAAGTACACATCACACAAAAAAAAAGGTTGATGTATTGGTCCCTTCCAAAGAGTCAAAATTAATAACCTCCAGTGTAATTAGCTTGTTACTCCTTTTTAGTAATGAACTCGCTAATTAGTAAACTTAATGGTATGGTTTCGATTAAAAACTTTCTGGAGATCATAGAAGACCACTAAATCAGCCCACTTCACAAAAATATGAGGCATGTGCAGCATGTAAAGGATTTAAAAACAAAACACTCAATATAAAATGCATTGTTAATTTTTGATTTCTGTCAGAATGCACCTTTGCGCCAGCACTACTGTTCCTCAAGGCCAAAGCATTCAGCCACCACCTCTCCTCCCAGTATGAAAAAAGAAAGTGTGGCACATGCCAGTGAAATGAAATGCTATGGTGTTTGAATGATAGTGCAAGAATAATTGTTCTAATTGAGGGGTTCATCCCTGTCATGCAAAGAATGCTTGGCGGCACATGTTAGTTGGATGCTTTGGCCATGGGGTCAAAGCAAGCAAGCACATTGTCAGTGCAAAAACGCCCTCCAACAGGCAGGCACGTAGCCAGGATTTTGTTTCGGGGGGGCCACCCATGACAAAATGCTGTATGAGGGGGAGGGGGGAGAGGAGGTCCCAGCAAACTGGAAGATTTCGGGGGGGCCCAGGCCCCATGGGGCCCCCCCTTCTGGCTACGTGCCTGCCAACAGGAAACCGAAACACATCCAAATTTAGTCTTTTACGGCGACAGCCACGACTGGTGAGCTTTCGCAGCGAATCTGGTGTATGCACTATGTGGCCAGCCAGATTTAGCAGGGAAACACTTCATGCGATGTCACAATGTCAGGTGATATCATGCAACGTCACAATTTCACTGATACATTTAGCAGGGGTATGCTTGACGTCACATCACCTAATTATCGCAAACATCATTAATATTGCTGAATAGGCCCTTTGGCAGAAACCGCTACAACATCAACCGTTTGTCTGAGTGATGCATTGTTTCCGCAGGAACGATTTGGTCAATGTTTCGTGAAACATTCCTCTACATAGGGATGACATACTTTATTAAAAAGCACAGCTGCGAGTCAGCAGTGACTTAATCTATTTACCTTCATGTATTCGTCAAAAATCGTTCAATCGTGCAAAGCTCCCTATCCTCCGATAAGACAAAATTAACCGCAGTAGACAGTAGCGGGATTATAAATGTAGTGCAGTCAAATGGTCGTGCTTCGAGCAATTCAAGTGGAAAAAACGGTCGAAGGTGATGCTCGATATATCGCACCAGAATCTGCAGGGAGCTACGTAAGTAGTTAAATAGGTGAAATACACGCGACAGCTATGTACAGATGGTACAGAGTGCGACACAGTGTGCAGGCAAACCGATCGCCTATTTTGACTAATTTTCTCTTACAACTCAAAGGCTGCCATCAAAACTACTAGTGCGGTGGAAAAAAATGCTCATTCGGGGAGCCAAACTTAGAGGTACAACTGAGTGCTCGTCTGGGTAAAGTGCCAAGTGCTTCTGTCGTGCTCGTATACAGTGTCGCGCAGAGCACACATATTCGCCAAACACCCACTAGTTTACACAGCAATGCTTTATACCTCAATTTAATCAGGAAAGCGTTACAATGGCTACCAGATGCGAAGTTGCTCACATGAGTAAGACGTGAGCAGACCTTCAAAGGATTTCACTAAGCCGGCAGGGTACTTCTGCGTAGATCGCCGACAAGCTCACCAGGATGATACCAACGGCTGTTATTCTCCTGCGCCTGCTGACAAACTGGTACCTATGTAAACTGTTTCTCCAGCAGTAAACAAGCGCAACGGGGACGTCACGCATTAGTACAACGTTTAACGCGATAGATTCCTGGTCTTCTCCCGCGCTGCCGAACTTGGGTCGAAGACGAGCGATGCCCAACCAGCGACACGCAAACTGCCAGCTACTGCCAACGCAGAGCCGGCTTTCGGAGGTTTCATCCAAACAATACCAAATGGTCTCACCCTGAGTACATGATATCCCTCGGTGCCTCCTCCGGGAATAGCACTACTCTGAGATCCACCCATTATATATTAATGTCCTAAAATCGGACAAAAACTCGCCAACATTCAATTGCTAAGCTGCTCCTAACGTGTACCCCTACGTGGCAAGGGGGACAGGGACAGGCAGGAGGCGCTGGGACAGGCGCGACAGGTCGGACGCATGGATGGATGGATGGATGTTCAGAGCCGTATATACACGACTCTGTGATGTGTCTAATGTAGCACAAGTTACCGCCCTTTGTAACGGGCGGTAACTTGCGTCACCTAGGTTAGCGGCGTTTAAGGAAGGCCGCGAAGTAGAGGCCGCCAAGCATTGCCGCCCAGAGAAGAGTTGGCCGTGTTCCAAAAATTCACTGAGCCTGCAGCACGGTGGCCTGCAGGTTCGATTTTGCCAGGGCGCGTCACCGTCGATCCGCCGTCTTCGAGGTCGCGGTTTGACTGGCTTGGGTACGCGGTCGTACGTTGGTAGTGTGTGCTTCGTTGAACAAAAGAGAAAAAAAGGTTTATCTCGGGGTCGGGCCGTTTTAGTTTCCTTGTTGCCGCCGAGTACCGTGCTGAACCGCATGTAAGCAATTTAGCGAGCGACGGCGGCAGTGACGATGACCCGCTTCGCTGTCGCTCGGTCACTCGCGCGACGAGGCAAACCGCATGCAAACGACGGGAGCAAGCGACCAAGGTGATTAGCGACGTTTTCTAGAAATCCAAAAACCGAGCGACGCGACGACTGACCGTGAGAAATTTCCGTCGCTCGTTGCCGACTACCGTCGCTGTCGCCGTTACTCGCTAAATCGCTTACATGCGGTTCACCCTTCACTGTCGCTCGTCGCATAGCTCGGTTTTAGGATTTCTAGAAAACTTAGCGCTCATCGCCTTGGTTGTGTGCTCCCGTCGTTTTCATGCAGTTTGCCTCGTCGCGCGAGTGACCGAGCGGCAGCAAAGCAGCGGTGATCCGTCGCTTGTTTTGCCGCTCGCCAAATCGCTTACATGCGGTTTTTAAATCGCTTGGGATAATGAAAAATGCGCCGCATTTTTCATAAGCTGTGCACTCTGTGAGCCGCACGGTATGTTTCTGCACAGGAACGAACACCGAAGGCACGACGTATGTACAGGACGACACAGCGGCGATAGAGCAACACGGTTACACGGCCGTAGGGCAGAAAATCCGCTAGAGAAAAACAATAAAGAAACTATCAAAACAAAACAAAGAGTAATCACACCGTGCTAGAAAAGCACCAAAGAAGAAAAATCAGTTCTTGCAAGAGCTACCGCTGTGGGCATGGCGCACGACACGGAGCGCTTCATGGAGTCGAGGGAGCAACGCGGCTCCGGTAAGCGAGTCCGATAGCGACAAAAACGAACTAAAACACACAAAAAATACTCTTACGGCGCTTCAAAAGCACCAAAGTATAAGAATAACCACTAGTTTAGGTCAAAAAGACCCTTTAAAGTTGTAAAATGCTGCTAAACCACGCTCAAAAGGTCCGGCCAAACGACACCCGCGATAGAGAGAGACCTCGAAGATTGCGACCGGGGTGGGCGATGCCAGCGAACCTAGCGAGTGACGTCAAGTGCATGTCACCCAGGGTAAGGGTTTTATTAGGGTGCATACGAGTGACGTCAAGTGAATGTCACCAAGGGTAAGGGTTTTATTAGGATGCCTACATGCTTCCGCTCCGGCGGAAACATGTAGGCACCATAGGTTTTGTTAGGGTGCCTACACGTTTCCGCTCCGCAACCACAAGCCAACATGATGCGCACGGTCATCGCCAGAGAAGGCTAGCGCGGCTAAGCGGCTAAGCGCGGCTAGCGCACATGAAAGCACCCTAGAGCAAGCCAGAGTCCCAGAGTCTCGATGGTAGCAGCCAGATATTCGGTCACGCATGACCAGCGGCGTAGACTTTCCATTTTCCCCGGGGGGGTGCTTTTCCGCGCAATTTCTTTTACACCGGCAGTTATGAGTAGTTTATTTTAGGGGGTACACTTTCCAGCGTACGTATATCGCCATGTGTCCGTCGCCGTGTGTCAATCACTGTGCAAGCGTAGCCGTGTGTTCATCGCCGGTACCACGGCGCATGCGCCGGCGAGCACAAACCTGAAAAGCTTCTGCCAGCTGCGAAGTTGTGGGGGTAGAACCCAGGCCCCTGTGCAGTAATCCACTAGACCACGAGTCTTTTCTCTCCTTCGGCTGCAAGCCCTTGTAGAACGCGCACAAATACGTGCTGTCGGCTAACGGAAGCACGCTGGGATTCCATTTCCCATGTATTTTGTCAATAAAGGCAACGTGGGCGTTATTCTGTTTACATGCCACTACTAGAAGCTCGTTACATGGCGCGTAAACAGCATCTTAGTAAGCATCATGGCCGGGGGGGGGGGGGGGGGGGGGCACGAGCCCCGATGGCCCCCCCCCGTAGTCTACGCCTATGCGTATGACCGTTCCAGCATCCACCGGCTGACGTCAATCGTCTGGCTGACTTCCTGGGTGCAGATCCGCTAGTCAAGAAAGATATGTGTATCAACCGCATCATGAGACTCCAGAAAGGCCAGTCCGTACGGTGCCAACATTTTCCGAGCAAAACTACAAAACGTCTGCCACAACAAGCTACGGGAAAAAAGGGCGGCGATCGCACCCAGTAACCTCATACCGCAAGAATTCCCCCGACTTCTCGTCACGTCAAGTCACCTCATACGAGTCATCAATCCACATATCCACTACTGAGCTGGGGAGCGCCCGGTAGCGCCACATCTGTTCCAGCCGATGCCAGCCGCCAGGTGCTCATTAATAACTGTATTTATTAAAACGTCGACGGACAAGCAGTGGCGTACAAATTGGTTTCTGAGTGTGTGTGTGGGGGAGGGGGGGGGGGGGGGGGGGGGGGGGGGGGGGCAAGACATGTGTTTGCACCCCCACCCCCCCCCCTGAAACAGCCGCCACTGGGCAAGGCAAACACTGGTCGGCGGCGCCCAAGGGATACCAAGGGCACCGCCCCCCGGTCCTTGGGGGGGAAGTCTGGTTTGCCCCCCCCCCCCCCCCCAACACTTAATAAAGGGGCCCTGCAATGACTTTTTGACTGGTTTTTAATTTGCACTGAACCTGAGCGTACTGAACGTAGTAACTTAATCCAACTTTCCTTTTCACAAATTTCGCTTTATTTTAAAAGTTTTAGGCAAATTAGAATTACAAAAACAAGCAAAAAATAACCTCCTTCATGACGTTGTAGGTCCTGGCTTGAGTGGCCTTGAACTAGAGGAGGAGTAGTGAGCTCATCCAGCGCACACGGCTGCCGCACTCCGTGTCGACGGCTCGAGAGGGCGCCACTAAAGCACGTGTTGGATAGGCTGTATGAAGCGGGCGGCCAGGGCAGCTCGCATTGCATTTGCTGCGCGACTAAAACTAATTCGGCATAACACTTGATAGGCCACAAACGACAGCAAACACGGGGTAAAGATCAGTTTAGAATGGGAGCCACTTCGCGCTGACGCACCGCCAAATGGCCAAATCGCCTGCAGGGCTCGCGCCGAAGGCCTTCGGAACGCTCGGAACCGGTCGGATTCTTGAGCCGGTATACGACCACAGCGCCGCCGCGTACATCCGGGACCTTTCTACGCTCCTCGTTTGTCGTAGCCTCATCCCACTAGCCTTTTCTAGTATGCGCCGTTTTTTTCCGCCGCTTGGTGGCGGGTATGTCGACGGGTCATTTCTCGTTTCCGTACTTTCTAAACTGCATTTGTTTCTTTTCCGATCTAAAATAGTGAACAAAAGCTACTCTCATACATATATAATTGAAACGGTTCGCGACACTTATATTTTGTATCTCGACTAAAAAAAAGCTCTTAGCGGCTTTGACCAGTGGCAAGCCCAGGACCAAAGACGTCACATTTTGCGCGCTTTCGGTACCGCGGGTCGCCCTCGTCGGTGGAGGAGGTTTCCGCGTCGTCCGGTTAAAATATGACGCACTGATATTTAGTTACTCTCTCCGTGCCCGCCGGCTTGCCCGAACCCCAAGAGACGTGGAAACCGCAAAAAAGGTAGACGCTTAATTAAGATTGCAGGGCCCCTGTTGGTACGCCACTGCTTGTCCGTCGACGTTTTAATAAATACAGTTATTAAAGGGTAGGAGAGGGCAGAGGTCCTGCCCTCTCCTACCCTTTAATCCTCCTTGCCTTTAAAACACTTCGGTGCAACGATATTCAATTGGATTTTTTTTTTTCACTTTACACGAGCTTACTGGCACTAATGGGACTCAAGGATACTCGCACGCAATGCCACTGGCCAAGAAACTCCTTTTGTTGCGGTGTAATTTCAAGGACAAAAGCGACCATTTTCATTTAATCTGTCCTTTGCAAAATTTCAAAAACGTAACGTGGGGATCGCAGTACACCCCAATGACGATATTTGAATGCGGTTCATAGATATTGGACCCGAGCATTGCGTGGGCACTCGATTTAGGCTCGTGATAATTACTAGCTCGAGAAGCATTCGGGTACGTGGCCCGTGTCCAATTGCTGCAACGACAACAATAGCCGAGCCATAACAATGTCTGGAACCCAGCGCGTGTCCTGTGCTTTGCCAACCCCAGCACGTGGCTATGATCAACATTGGCGGCATATAATCGGCTCCAGATCACGTGGCCACTTGTTCAGGCTGCGAGTTGAGGGGGTGACCGCTGCTCGTTTTTTTTTTTTTTTTTTTTTTTTTCTAGGACTTCAATCGCGTGGGGTGAAAAACGAACGCGTGTTTCATAGGTCATTAACCTCAGGGATCCGTTCTAAGCGGTATTTCCGCAAAGTACAAAAATTGTTCAAAATCGTTTTTTTTTTTTTATCCGAAACGATTGAAAACGATGCCGAGACATTAGCCTCAAATTCCAAACTTGGGAATTCAGTATTTGTGAAGTAAAAAAACAATTTCCAAACGCCGAATTTGAAGTTCCCGCGCGATCCGCGCCGGTGCGTTGACGTCAAGTATTGCGGAGTCCTGAGAGTCCACTTTCTTTCACGACTCCGTGCTGTTGCAACACCACCTAGCTGTTGCCATCGAGACCCAAAGCGAGGTGGAAAGAAGCGGCAGATGAGGGCGCCGGTGGACCGAAAAAAAAAAAGAAGGGGGTTTTGAGAGGTGTCGCCTGCCTGCAGCATGTTTTCCAAGCGAGGATACAAATCTAGAAAACGATATCACACCGGACTCCGAT